CTACATGATAAATTCCACAACTGAATTATAGCCCCACTGTGACCCTTAACCTCTGTGTGGAGCACAGCTGCCTCTTGGGTTCAAATTCATGTGTTTTGCAGCCTACTGTAGGAAAAAATATAGGTGATGATTCTACCCCAGGAAGACATGGCTCTGCTCCCAATCCTTGCAGTAGAGATCAGCTTCAAGGCCCAGATAAACCCAGCACCCAGCACCACAACTTTTGGTCACAGAAAGTCCATCAAATGCTCCCAATATTTCACTAATGCTGCTGTTACTATGCAAAAATGCTTAGTGCATTGATGGATAATAAACACTCACAAGTTTTACAACTAAAATAACTAAGACTTCCTACACAGGTACTTCAGATACAGTAAAGCTTAAAGCCTAGTTCTATGTGTGTGTGCACACCACACATCCATACATACACATATATATGTATCTGTGTATTAATGTATGTGTTTTAAAAGCTTAATCTCAGTCACAGTGTCAAGAATTTAGGACTAAGCCTGCCCTTCACAGCAGCAATAGAAGCAGGACAATATACATGGAGCCACAAGAGCAAATAATGTGCTTAATAAGACACTTTTCCAGCTACCTTATGTCCACGTAAAAAAATGTTCTAGGTCTAGTTCTGTCAAATTGTTCTTGTTGGATCATCATCACCACAGTTATGTAATCTAGGATCCTTGAACCCTGGTCAGGAAGAAGCAGGAATAGCTAACAAATGTTCAGCATCACTAAATTCCCTCTGCATGTCTGCTTGAAACGCCGCTGATGTGCCATGAGTGTGTTTCTCTGGGTAGGGTGCTGTAGGGATGCTGAGCAGTTGATTTCTACTGATTTAGAAAGATTTCTATTGATTCAGCAGCTCTTAAAACATATTCTATGGATCTGTAGGCTGAATGCTCACAGGCAGATACTAGTTCACATGGAGGTGAATGGCAGTGGATTAAAATTAGCGTAGGAACTTGGAAATCGCAAACCTCAGTTGCTGGAGTTTTACTGCAAAGTATAGAATTTAAAAAACTACCTGATGATTCATCTTCACTGTGTCATTTTTATTTGCTTTTAATAAGGGCACTCTATTTTTCATTATAAGATGTGACAGAGTTGGGGTGTATTTGAGGCTGGCACCAGTGCCTGTACAGACAGATACCAGAAGGTTTTTCCGGAGTAAGAGGCTAAAATTCAGGAATAAGTTATTATTCTTGAAAGTATAACTGAAGTACATGGGAAAATCAGGATGCTTGCTTATATGCATCAGATATCCAGGGATATCACAACAGCAGGAATTCATGGACCTTCCTTTCTCATGCTTCTTCTGTGAGCCCAACACAATGATTTTTTTCAAGTCATAACTCATCATAAGTTCTCTACCCATATACTACTTCAAAATATCAGCAGGCAAAATCTGTCCATTAGAGCTTATTGCTATTTATGTATAGCCTTATAGCAGCATAAAGCAGTAGTGGAGCACATGAAAGGAATGAAATCTGGTCCCAACCCATCCCACCACTTACACCTACTTTCAGGCATCCTGGCAGGCCAGTACCTGCCACCACCTTGATCCATACAGCTGCAGCCCTCAGTAGCCACGTTACTCCCTAAATCTTGTGGTATGTCAGAAACACTTCACATTGCACATTTTGAAAACTTGGAAGAGAATTTCAGACTCTATTCTATATTGCAGGCTGCTCAGGAGGCATAATCAGCCAATAGTTATAACCACCATGTGGTGGGTGGTAATACAACCCACATTGTATGTGTGTGTCACATTTCCTGATCTTTTGAATACACTGGAATATTTGAGGGTCCTATAGTGAAATTCTGATTTTGGAATAAATTATGAATGCTGATAATAATCCAATATATAAAAGCCTCTTTGTTAAAATTGAGGAATTCAAAAGGGATGAGTAATTTAACACCCATTTCTGTCTTTTGGAGTGCTTGATTGTTATTGCATCACATGTGCATTACACATTTATGAAAGGTGTAACAATAAATACAACTCTGAGCTAACAAGGGAAAAAAAACAGCCTAGGAATACACATTCCATGCCTGTTAATTGCCTTGCTATATGGTCCTCCGTGCTTGTGGGAAGTCATGTTTTAGAAACATTCATGGAGATATCCAGCAGACAACATGATATTTTCAGTAGGCTTACTCATAGACTAGCAACAACTAATGAAATAATGTCAACTTTTTAAGAATATTCAGAGCTCTTTTGTTAATTAAAAAAAGCAGGCATTATAATAGCCAGCCATTATGTAGGCTGGCACCAACTGTTCAACTTTTCTAACAGATAAAAATAATTGCGTGCAAATTGTTTTGCTCATGAAAGTGAGACAGATGTAGAAAGAGGTCAGACAGACACCACGACACTTGCATCCCACCTCAGGCTCCACCTGGAACACCAGTTATTCAATTACCAAGGCTGACCTCTACAGTCCACACAACCTTATGCAGCTTTGCACTGTAGGGTTATGTGGATAATCATTAACATTTAAGTTAGACAATTTTTCAAAACTACAGCACGTTTGTAGATCTGCATCTTTCATTATAGGAATGCTGAAATAACAGTACTCAATAAGTTTGAGACTATAAAAACTAATGCTCTCCATTATGGGCTAGGTTAGATTCAAAATTTTATAGGAAGTTTTACACTCCCAGAACAAGTGTATCAAAAAGTTTGTGGTTTTTAAATGTATCCAAACGCACAGAGAACACAAGGATTCCCACTTAAGTGTGGCTTCCTATCTTCTAGAAAAAAAAGTGAATAAGCTGCTGTTTATGAAAGAAAAAAGCTGTCTCTGGAAGTCCTACTTTCCCTGCAAAGAGTGATTTTCATTTTTAGATGAGGGAATTCTGAATTTGCATACATAAATGGATGTAGTTGTCTTACAGCTGATCAAGCAGTGCCTAACTTGAAGACATCTGCTACTCCTTTCCCCTCACCATCCTCCCTTCCAAATGAGAGCTCTGCTCCTGAGCACAGAGAAGACAGACTGACATTTAGAACATTCAAATATTTCATTTAAATTTTTAATTCTGACTGAAAGTTAGTAGTGGTAAAATAGGAAGTTCTAAATAAGAGTTCTCTGAACTCATTTTTCTTTAATGTTCCATAACATTCAGTTATGCATATTCCTCATCTGCACAAATTGTGCACATCTGTAGGGATATTAAGTGAAGCTCCAAAAACTTGAAAAACAATATTTATATGATATTTTTCATTTCCTTCATGCTTTTTCTTGTACTCTCTGACAAAAATGAGCAAAACAACAATGGTGCACTCGAACTTTCAGTAGCTGCTAAATATGTATATATTTGAAGCTATCTTATTGAATTTCATCTAATAAATTTGTTGACATTTTACAGATATAAAATCATGACTGTCCTCAATGACACATGGGCTTTTTGGCAGTGTAAGGTGCAGTCTGCTGACATAAAAAATGGAATATAGCTTAAAATAAAATCTAATTGAAATGGTATGAATTGGAAATAGCAGTGTGGAGAAAAATAATGAACCAATGGAATTAACTTGAAAGATCTTTAAACATACAGTCCTTTGAAAAATACTGATAGAAAAGTGTTTGTGCATAAAAAATAGTCAGCTTAAACAAGATTCAAACAAACAGAAAATAAATTGTTTCCATTATTTTCTGACATAATTAATTATGGTAATTCCAGAAATTGAATTTCAAGAATAAAGTTTTATCATTATGTATGAAGAAGTTACATTATTAAATATAACAGGAAATCCACACTTTGACTTTAACCCTGTAGAAAGGCTTTTTATAATTTAAATATGATTTGAAGGAGGAGGAAGTTCTCCTGCATCTTTCTCTGTTCTGTTTAATCTTTAATTTAACCCTTTGAGCATTTTGCAGAATGAACAGGATTCATGTGCATCAAAGAAAAAGATAATTTTGATTAATTCAGTTTGGTTAAAAAGTAGAGGTATTTTAATGTGCTATCATGTTAGTAACTATAAAGATAAGCTAAATTCTTATTGGTGTTTAGGTTGGACATCTTTTTGCAAAGACTTGAGTATAAAGCAAGAGAAGCTGCAGACCTGATCAATCATCTGGAGGCACTAAGGTAACTCATTCCCTCCCTTCACCTCTGGGAACTCAAGCTCTCTCAGAATTATTTACTCCTGGGAGGAAAAAGACAGTATTCAGGTTCTGTCTTTTCTCAGGACTTATTTTCAGAAAAAGTAACTTTCTTTCCATCTGTTAAACAGCTCATGGGTGCCCTGAGCAGCAACCAGATCATGCACTCTGAGGGGGAGCAGAAAGCACCCCAGAAACACTAGACAGGCTTGTGGCAGAGTCAGTCCCAGCTGCCTGCAGGTCCCTCAAGGGAACAGGAGACTCTCCTGTGCACCAGCTTCACCCACCTCAGGACATTACTACTTGAGGGGCTCTTGAGCAGCCAGACTACAGAAGCAGGAATGGCATTACCCCAAAGGCTCTGCAACATTTCTGGAAACAGAACTTGAAAATTTCCCACACTGCAGTGGAAAGGTTTTGTTTTCTCATCATTAAATATGTTCATGCTGTTGCACTACAGATGCTGTCAATTACATGGTTCTGGAGTTATCTCATATGAGTAAGGTAAATGACAATCCTTATTTTGATGCTGGTCACATTATCTGAGATCATGACTTATTATAACTTATTTCATTGAACACTGAGATATAGTAGCTGAGTATCTGAACCTCTTTAATTAAGGTTTCTATGGCACCATAATTTATACAACAAAGATTTGAGCTGTCTTTACCAAATTTTTGTCAGAAAGATAGCCTAGTATTAAAAACTAAAACTGAACAGAGTCCATCCTTAGTTTGAGTTAACAGTGGATTCTAAGAAAAAGTAGTCTGAGTCATGCTGTAATTGCTCAAAGTCATTATACTTCACTTTCCTATTTTTAGTCTTTTTTTAAAAATAGACATAAGCCCAGAGACTGAAGATTTAGGAATGTTGAGATGAAAAAGAAGATTGACTTCTTTTATTAGAAGATCTACTTTAGAACAGGGGGGGCAACATGATTCACAGGTTAAATTTTGGGTGAGTAAACATGTGGACTACAAATGTTTTCAAATTGTATTAATATCTTTGTTTTTATTTCATTCACCACATCATTCCTAGTCTTCATCTTTTAAGTCTGCCATCTCATTCATGTTTGTAAATCATTCTCATGTTATTTCTGCATTCTGTCCTTTTTTCCCCTAGTGTGAAACACATCTCATGTTGAATGCTGTCAATACAGTCCACTAACAGCTTGCATTTACATTTGCACACCGTTTATGATGCTGCTAAAGCAATTGCAGTTCTGCAAAAAACAGCAGAAATTATAGAAGAGTATTTCATGTTTCTCTGATATATTGATTACATTTATGGAATTTGTGAAGAGAAATGGAAGTTATGTTGTCAACAGAATGGAAGTTATGAAAATAAAAAGTGCAAAGTGATTTCAAAAGTATTTCCACGTTTTGAATCCACAAATTATGTGGTAGAGATTCTAAATTTCCACTTAAAGCACTGTCACGATCAGTTCCTATAATAATCATAAGAAATCCAAATTTTCCTGTTTATTTGGCCATTTTCAAACCAGTACAACTAAGAGCATATGTAGTAAAATCTGTTGCTGAACTGGTTTGTTGCAGACTTGTGTTTGGCTCACTTCTTCCCTTAAACAGTCTCTGAATTTTGTTGTAAAACATACTGAAATTTTTTTGGTGTGTTTTTTTTGGGGTTGGTTTTTTGGTTTTTTTTTTTGAAAGGCCTGATTATCTTGCAAAATGTCCTGCACTTCCTTTTCCAGAATAGGCTGAGAAATCTGACAAGTCTCATTTCATGCTTTGTTCTCCCCTTCTCCATCCCAAACTTTCGTCTATTGCTTAAGACTGTGACTTAACAAGTTCAGAGCAGTATAACAAAATCAATAACAAACTCGATTAAAATTGATCCAAGATACATGGTGGAGAACTTTATCTTAGGAGAGTGAGGGTGTAATTCTATGGAAAGACTGAGGGACTGGATCCTTCTGGTAGATGAAGTGCCTCTAACACAGCTTGTGTAGCCATTTAGACTTAATAAACATCTAAGTACAGTTTTAGCTGAGTTTGGTTGGACTTAATGTAATTGAACAGAATTACTCTTCATTTCAAAGAGACAATTCATTAAATATCCAAAAAAGGGGAAAATTATTTTGCACTGCAATATATCACATCATCCCCTAAAGACTTTGTAGCACATGCAGCCATTGCAGGGAGTTGAAGAGGGGGATCCCACTTGTGTAAAGGCAAACAGCTGGATTGAATACCCTCTGAAGAAGCTAGGCTTTGAAACATCATGTGAAACTGAGGAAAACAATAAGTACTTCCTGCTAGATGTCTAGCCTGAGACTTGAGAAGCAGCTTCCCCTATCCTGAATTAATTTTTCCCGAAATAAACATCAAACCAGCAGGTTTTGAACACACCTATATAGTCTCTGCCAAGATGAAAAGTTAACAGGTCCCAATGGGTATGGCTGCTTGATCAGCAAGGTTATTTTGTGCTTCACTCTGCTGGGCTTTGCAAGTGCTCCTTTACTGAGCAGTGGTATAATTATCGCTTGCAGAAAAGAGTGAGTTCAGTTCCCAGCCTTGTGCTGACAACAGCCTGCAGCCCTGTGTTTTCACAGCTCAGCAGAATCTGTTCCACTGGTACCAGGCCAGTGACAGGCAGATGTAACCACAATATTGACCAGCCCTGCTTACCTTTCATCTAGATGGGCAACATACTGGTACAGTTCCAAGAAGCCTCCCAACAAAAAAGAATGACTGTGAAACAAATCCTGGCCCCTTGCTCCTCACTTACTGCTTCAAGGTGGCTTCACAGCACAACCCTCCTGTGCCTTTTTGCCAAAGGATCCTCACAGTGTTCCTGCAGCTTTTGGTGCAGGGAAAGCAACTGCCTGGAAAGCTCACTGTCTCTTGTGCTGGCAACACAACTCTATCAAAGTGAGGCAGCTTGGAGTGGCAGATTAGAACAAAACACACCAGGACAACACACAGCTCAAGGGAAACTTTGCCTTTTACCTACCTGACTTAGAAACTTCTCATTTGCACCTTTGTTTTCTTGAATACATTACATTTACAATAAGGTACACCCTCACACCTGCATTCACCCTACATGACCAGTCACCCTAGAGAGAATACAGAAGGGTGTCTCCTGTAAGCAAGTGTTGCTCCTCAGTGCTCCTGCTCACATTTGTCATGTCCTGCTCAGCAGAGGTGTTGGGCATTCCTGACCTTGGGGAACACATAGCAGGTCAACATGAAAAGAAAATTATGGCCTCAAATATAACATTGTTACATTGGTTTTTTTTTTTTTTTTGCTATGTTTCTTTCATACAAATTCATGTCAGATCCAGAAGGCAAGTTTTGGATTTTAAAATAAATTAGGGAGTTGTGTCCTGATTATGTCTAAAATAGGCAAGTGATTGCTCTGTGTTAGATCTTGCTTCTCCACAAGAAAACCTGGCTCAGCCCACGTGTCAGTCTTTTAGAATGACACAGATTAGATGAGCTAACCAGAAGCAGCTTTAGTTTACTATTTGAGATAATTAACTGTGGAATTTTTAGGTTAATCTTGATTTAAAATTAGGCATCTAAATTAATATTCAGTCCTGTCAGTTGCCACAGTAGTGCCAGAATACATTTATGTATAGCTCTGCAAAAATCAGTTGCTCTGCTCAGCATTTCAGGAAGCATACTGACTTTGATGTGAAAGTATACATTCATGATATTCTTCTGAGAACCACAGAAGTGACTAAAGAATGCCAGTCTCCACTGATCTTATTGTAGACCATGGTCTTAAACTACTTTCAGGATTTGAAAATTCATTTATATTTTGGACATCCAAATTTGAGAGATTTGTCCATGACTATGGAGGCAAAAGAGCAAGTATCGTTAAATTCTTTAGATACTAAATTGTAATTATAAGTTAGACAGACAGAAAGGCATTATTAAGGTTTTGTTTTAGATCAGTGAATTTTATTTTCCTTTCCCTTGGGGACAAATTGCCTATATTTAAAATCAAGTTTTTACGGCAGAGAATTTAGTTTTTAGTTGTGACTGCATTTAGCTGTCTATACATCCATAAACATGAACTTAACATTTGTACATACAATCATTAAAGTCATTATAGTTCTAAAAAATTATTTCATAATTAAATATAAAATTAATCAGTGAAAGCAGTAAACTGCCCAATGAAAAAGTGTGCTGTCATGTGAATATTTGAAAAGAGCCTTGCTCTGAATTAATCATCAAAATTTCCACCAAACTCCACTGAAGATCCGTGTAAATAAGCAGTAATTATAATAAGCAGTACTACTACTCCTTTTGTAGTACAACAAGTTTAATTTTATAGAACAGGTAAATCATATCTTCTTGTCTCTTCAGAAGGCAGTTTATTAAGTTAATGGTCTAACTTAAGCTCATTAGCTATGGTACAACACTATGGCTATAGAAGTACAATGGCTTAACTGCAATGCGGTCCAAATACTGAAGGCATTGAACTAACTTTTTAACTAAGTTCCTGCCACAAAAATACACTGCAGTGTTAGTGGGAGTTAAGAAACAAGCACTAAAATTCATTGTTAATGACTACACCACTGAGCCCTGTTGGGCAGTTGCTGCTCTCACACACACAGACTCGACAGTCAGGAGCTGCCTCCCAGGCTTGGAGGGATTCCTGGGCTCTCCCCAGAGCTGCCACCCCCACGGCGAGGTCCTGCGTGCTCTCCTGCAGTCCCTGAACCCAGGTCAGCTCCTGCCAGCTGCTTCTCCCCAACACCAAGAAGCAGAACCGTCCCTGGAAGGGGCAGTTGCCTCTCCCAGTACTCACCCCAGCTCCTCAGCCATAGCACGGGGGGCAGACATGACCGTGCTGTGGAGGTCAGTAATGCCAAGAGGAGCAAGCACAGGGGTTTCACAGCTCCTGCTTCCCTTCCCATGAAGGGTGGGGACAAAGTTTGCTTCTTAAGGAACTACTAGAAATTTGCTTCTGTATTTGACTTTCATAGGCTGTAACAACAGACAGGGCAAAGTTTTCGTAACACCACCTTCTTCTCACAAACATGTTTTTTTGAAGTGCGGTGGAAGTTTTAGGTATTATTTTAACAGTTTAAATTTCTGAAAAATATATGAGAAAACCTCCCCCAGAAGCTATAGCATAATAATATTCATAATATATACATCTCTAGATAAAATTAATACAAGATGAGATGACTCTTTCATCACAGTAGGGAGACTCAAGAAAAGAACTTGAATATGAATCAAGGCTTTCTGTATTTTGTAAGAAAACTCTGGTTTATGTGGTGTTGAGGACATGTTTACCTCAAATTGTGATTTAAAAATTCTGTGATCAGGATAGGCTCATATAATGCAATTAAGTCCTCCAAATTAGGAATAACTAGAAATCACACTAAGACTCCTAAGCTTTTTTTTTTTAATTCTTACAGTAGTAATTATATCTAGATCCTTAAGGGAGGCACTTTTGCCTCCTGAAAGCCTAGTTTTAACACTGCTGTAAGTGCTATGGGCATATTTGAATCTTCACATTCAAATACTTTCAAACATAGGGAGTTGCATCCACTGCTTTTTCTCTCACACTGTATTATTCTCTGTCTAATATTAAAGGTTTCATCTAACTCTTTATGAGAGCAAATATTGGAGGACACCAGTAATGACAAATGAGGTACAATTAGCATGGCATTTTCCTGGTTTAATTGTTCTTACTTGAAAGCTACAAAAATACTTTGAAAGTTCTCACAAACAAGTTTTTATTGCATTGCACAAAACCAAATGCAAGAAGGCAGAGGTTCAAACAGCAGTTCACAGTTTTTAGCAACAACACTGGGAGAAGTCAATATCAGTTCTGATATCACCAAGCAGGGAAGAGATCCAATACCAAAAGTTGTTCAGGGACAAAAACATCAGACAGATGTAACACTTGGACACTGAAACAGAGCTGCCTTCTTAAGTGCTGAAGGCGTCATTGCTATCCTCACAGCATTGCCAAACTTAAAAAGAGATAACAGGACATGCACTTGCCTTTCCCTGAGCTCTGCTCTTGACAGGGACAGCCTAGCTCCCCACAGGGCACTTGAAAATCTTGGATGGATTCAGAGGTCTACAAACAAGACAACATTCACGGAAGTTTATTTTTTTTTATCATGAGAAAACTTGTTTGAACCTCCAGCCATAAAAAATGTTTGCAAGTGGTATAAAAACCATCATGGAAGAAGGGCCCAAAAAAATTGAAGGCCAGGCCTAAGGGGAGAGGGGAGAGATGAGTTAGCCACACTCTTCTTGGTTGGGCAAGACACATTAGCAAATCTAATATCTAAAACATTCTCCTCAATTGTTCCCTGTTTCTGTCTTCCACGTCAATAATTTCCATGTGAAGTGGCTGGTCAGGATTCTTTTCTCAGCGTCCCTGTGCCCTTCCACAGCCTGCCATCCTTTTCCCTGAGATCCAGTCATGGATCTTGTTCTTTTGTATAAGCAACACACTTTGCAGGGAGGTACAAACTTATTGATTACAGGGGTCAGCTCCTTTCCAAAGCTAAAAACACTTCCTTTAATCACTGTTAGAGAAATAATTAAATTTAAATGCTATTATTGTAATATCTTCCTGCCATATAAACCTTTTAACTAGCAATCTCAGAGGGCTCTGTCATGGTGAATATTGTTATCTTTGGAAGACTTGGTAATAAATTTGGTGTATGAAAGTTTAGGAATAAAGTTTAGATACACAGATTGTATTCCCTGGATGTAGTTACTGCCATCCTATGCTTTTCCCTTTATGGTACCTAGAGATTTGAGAAAAAAATACTATTTTCTCTCTCAGACCAATTCAGCCCATATTTTGCTAATAGTTCCTGTAAGGCTTCATGCAGTGCTAGATAAACCATACCAAGTTGAGATAAAAAAATACAGCAAAGACGAATCTGGATTTTGCAAAGTTTACAGCCTTTGAGATTTTCAAGCACATCATATCAGCCAAATGAAGACCCTGCTTCAGAAAGTATCCGGATCTTACTCAAAGACACCTCAGGTTGCACTGAAATGCCTTTTCTTTCAGGGAGCAGGGGTTTGAACGGAAGCTCAGCACTTCCCTGACCGCAGGCCAGCATGAATCCAGCCCCTGGGTCCCTTCCTATGGGAACACTAGGCAGAGAGACCCTTTTCAAAGGAGGTCAGCCTTTGAAACACGAACTGACCTTCAGCAACCAAGACTCCCTTCTCTTTTGCAGGCTTTGTGCACTCTCTATTACAAAGCAATGCAATGAGATGTATTTTAATTCTCATCTGCTAAACGTCCTTAAAAGTCTGGAGCTGTTCCTGTTCTCACTAAAAGACAGGAACTGAGCATGTTTGAGAGACACAACTGTCCCTCAGCTCCTCTTCCTCTGCATTTCCCATTTACAGTTAGTTCTGCTACCAAACCAAATCCATTTTTAGTGCATAAGAGCCATTTTGATAATCATAAGCAGAAAGTATCAGCTCTCTGTGCATTTCAGGGAAACATTTTGTTGTCCAAAAGGATCCAGGCTGCTGCACAGTCACATGCAGTTTTCTGCCTTCTCTCTGGAGTGCGGCTACTTGCAGGAGAGGGAGAGCAGGGAAAGGGCTTCTACTATTGTCA